TCATTATCTTTAATCAATAATAAAAATAAAACTACTATAATAATTATCGTTAATATAAAAAATTTTTCATCTTTTTGCTTGATTATTTTTAAGATTAATTCATCTTTTTTCTCACGTTCTTTTCTTTCTTGGTTTCTTTTTTGGTTTTTGTATTTTTTTTGTTCTTTAAATTGCTTAAATGAGCAAATTTCAGCTTCTGTTTGTTCTGATTGATCCGATTCTTCATTAGGTTGATCTTGTTTTTGTCCATTATTTGATTCATTATTCATTCTATAAAATCATAGTTAATTAGATTATTTTTTTTTTTAACAATTGTTTTAAGAACAGATTACCTATCAAACAAGAGATCTAGACGGCGTTTAGACAAAACCAAAGATGATTCCATTTTTATATTTGGAATTTCAATTATATAAAAAACAAATTAAACTATAAAAGGAATTTCAAATTTTTTGGCATAGAAGATTCTTTTTATTTTTAAATGAATTAAACCATAAAATGATTTAGTTAGTTAAAAGTAAATTTATTTAATATTAATAAATATACATAAAAAATAAAAAAATAAAATAAAACTAAACAATAAAAAACGATTTATTATTCTTTTATACGTTAATATAATTTTTTGGTTTACCAATAGTTGTCATATCTTTTACTAATTTTAAAATATCTTCCATTTTTTTTTCAATTGGATTATTAAAATTATATTCAATATTAAATAAATTCAAAGTATTATCAATATTTGACTTAAGATTTTTTAAAGTTTTTTCATAACGTAAATTTTCTTTGGTGTTTTCATCATTTTCCGTTTTAATTTTTTTATTTTCTTCTTCCAAGTCGTGGACTTTATCAGTGAGGGGTTTAATTTCATTTTTTAATTCTTCATTTTCTTTTTTTAATCCTTCGTTTGTTGTTTTTAAATTTTCGTTTTCTTTTTTTAAGTTATCGTTTGCATCTTTTAAGTCTTTGATTTCTTGTTCTAATAGAGGGTTATTTGTTTTTAAAAGTTCTATTTCTTCTTTTAGTTTTTTATTATCAGCACTTAAATCATTAATAATTCCTTGTATACGATCAAGTTCACCTGATCCACTTGGGATTTGAAGAGCTTTTGGATGAATGTTTTTGTTGTTTTCAGACATTTTTAGTTTTTATTATTATAACGACAATATTTAATTTATTTTTGAAATATTATTACATGCATTAACTAATAAATTCATTTTTTGATTAATATTGATGTTTTTGTCGTATTTAATATTTAATAATGACAAAGAATGATCAATATCTTTTTCGAGTTTAACTATATCCGTTTTTTTGAACAATATCAAATACGTTATTTTACTAAAGTTCTGATAAAGTGCATAAAAGTTACGTAATATTTCATTGAGCCGCATATTCCATAGAGTAAGTTTTAAATGCAATTCTAAAATTAAAAAATAAAGTTTAGAAAGTTTACAAGAAAAAAAAGAAAATGAACCAAATAAACGAACCAATCAAAAATTTAATCATCATAAGAATTTATATTTATCAAACTTAAAAAAAAAAAGAATTTATATTTAATTTTACTGTATATTTCATATTTAATAAGTACAAATCAAGTAATTAATTGATAATATATTAGAGTAAAGTAAAAATTATAAGTTTTCGGCTTAAACCATAAAAGGTATTTTTAATTTTATACTACGATTATGATTACATAATAAATTATTCTTTTTTTTCTTCTTCCATTTCGATATCATTATAATTTTCTTCTTTGTTTTCAGATTTCCCTAAAATATTGTCGATCTTTACAAAAATATTTAAATTTTTTTCACGATTGTAACTATGAATACTATTGGGTTTAGTAACTGAAAATTGCATCATATCATGGAACGAAAGAATTTTTTTGTTCTTAAAATAGAACGTATATCTATATAAATCAGTTCCAACCAAAAAACACAGAATACCATTATAATTGTCGGATTTAGAATAAGTTTCAACTTTATCTCCAGAAACATATTCATAAAAATAGTCTTTAGGTGACGTAATAATTTCATCATTTTTAATGAAAACCATTCTTAGATTACTTGCGCAGACTTTTTCCAAAACAAGAAGAGTATCATCATCATTGTTTTTAAAAATTCTGCGACTTTCTACTGAAGATTTTTTAAGGGATATAACACCCGCTTTAGACATATTTGTTTCTTTTTGATAAAAAAATTTTTTTTTTTGGTACAATTAGAGTTTTTTTTGATTTTATTTTTATTTTTTAACGAGATTATATATATTTCCTTTTATTTTATAGTTTAACTAAATAGGAAATTCATGTAATACAATTATTAAATTTAGATTTATTAAGTATAAGACCATCTACTTAATGAATCTAAATTTAGTAATGATAATGTTTGTTTTAAAATAAATAAATTTAGTTTAATAAAGTTATCATAAACTAACTATTGTTATTGACTGTTTTACTAAATTTTACGATAAGATCCATTTTATTTTCTAATGAATCGTTTTTATTATAGGTTATTTTAAAATT